CTAGCATGTTGGGTAGAACCTTTGTGGAAGTCTATGGGAGAACATGGACAGAATGAGAAGGTACAGAAGGGCTGTGAAGTAAATAGACACAGGGATGGATGAGACCACACGTTCATTGAAGCATTGAAGTATACTGTGGGCAAAACACTGGGAGAGATACAAAGATAACTAAGACCTGGTCCTCATTTTCATTAGTTTATAATCAATAGCAACTTAATACCTATATGATTGAGGGAGGAGAAACCAAACATTCATTCTTTCTTTCATTTAACCAATCTTTGTAAAACACCTACTATAGAGGAAGAATTATCTAGAGTATAAACTTTGCTTTCAAAGCATTTACAATTGAATAGGAGGACAAGACCTATAGAAAGAACTGATGGCAAAGGGAGTGAAAAGGTGGGAACAGAAGTGTGGTACAGTGGAAAGAGCCTAGATTTGGACTCACAGGACCAGGGTTTAAATGTTCCCACTCTTACAATGTGAATGACCTCCAGAAAATCACTTAATGTCTTTTAACCTCAGGTTCTTACTCTGTAAAATGGAGGAGTAGAATTAATGATCTTGGAGGGCCCTTCTAGCTTTAGTGCTATGATCTTAAGTGCCAGAGAGAATACACAATGTAGACACATACAATGTGACTTCCTCTGGCAAGAGCCCCCCTCCTTTTAGGGTAGCCCGGAAAGCAACCTCCTTTCTTCCCTTCAGCCTGGAGGTAGGTTCTCAGAACAGACTTTTCAAGTTGGTAGGGAAGAGCCTTAGAGGTCATTTAATCTCTGTCCTCATTTTAGAAATGACTAGTGGGGTGTGGATTGGGGGGCAGGACCTGGAAAGGTCATACAGCTATCCCTATGGCAGATCTCCTGACTCCTAGTTCGATGGTTTTTCTGCTACTGACAAGGGCACTCATGAAAGCAGGGTCAATGGGGCAGCCCTGGGCCCTCCCCTGCAAAAGACGTGCCCAGATGGCAGGAAAGCACTCATCGTCACTAATAGGTCGCGGCCCAGGCCAAGCAAATCTTTTGTCCCACTATCGGCGCTCAATCAAACCCTGGCATCAGCAGGGCCCTGGCAGGGGCAGGCTGCCGACGAAGCACTAGCTCTTAAGCCCTGAGGGCTGGGTCATTGTCCTGAGGCCCCAGGCCCTAAGATGGCACCTCCCCGCCCCTCTATATATTGGGGCGTCCAACTACCCACACGTTGCACGTTACGGAGGACTCTAGGGGTGCATCTGGGGCTCTAGACAGCTGAAGAAGGAACATGTCGCAGTATTCGGGGAAAGTGAGTACAGCCTAGGGAAAGCGGGCTCTGGGTGGGGGCCATGAGTGGGAGGAGGGGAAGAGGAGGGGGGAGGGCAAGAGAGGCTAACCTAACTGGGGAGAGAGGGAATGGGGTTGAAGCCCAGAAAGTGGCGAATGAGATTGAGGACTCGGTCACAGGCAACTGGCTGGTTCTTCTGTAGTCTGCTCTTGATGCAAATAGAGGGTGTGTGTGTGTGTTGTGTGTGTGTGTGTGTGTGTGTGTATGTGTGTGTGTGTTTCAGGAAAAGTTGTGTGCACATCAAATTTTTGTAAATTGGGTTGGATTTTAAATGCTCTAGGGAAGTTCTCTCTCTCTCTCTCTCTCTCTCTCTCTCTCTCTCTCTCTCTCTCTCTCTCTCTCTTTGTTCTCTTTTTTTTAATAGGCAATCCTGTGGTGAAACCTTTTGAATAGTGAAAAATCCTTCTGTAACGTGAACAGCCACCCACAGGCCCCAGTTCATAGTTTCTTAGACTTCTAGCAGGCAGAGCACCCTATCAGTTACTGCCTATGTGACCTTGGGCAAGTCACTTAACTTCCTTGGGTCCCACCTTTCTCATCTGTAAGATGAAGGGGCTGGACTAGATGGCTTCTCAGGTGATGTCCAGCTTTGGTTCTAGGATTCTGTTTGGTCTGTTTGACTTGACCTAGGCCAGGTTTGCTCAGAGGCTGCAGTGGAAAGAACAGTTGGTTCTTGAGTCAGGACACCTCTGTGCCCTTGTTGGGAAGTCATTTCTCTTTTCCAGGCTTTGGCAGCATATAGTCCCCATTTAATAACTTGCACTTTTGACTTTGTTTGCTTATTGTACCTTTCATTGTATCCCCAGAACTTAGCATGGTGCCTGGGGTATATAGCAGGTGCTTAATTAATACTAGTTGACTGACTTAGTCCCTCTGACCTCTAGATGTATGACCCATACTCATTTCTCTACCTTGTTTTTTCCTTCTTCCAACTTCTACTTTCAACTTCCTTCTTCCTCCCCTTTCTTTTCCAAGTTATTGATCATTGTGCAGACAGCCTCAATACACATCCATAAAATAAATCAGAGCTGGGAAGGATCTCAGGGGTCATCGATTCAAAGATTTTAAGAAACGCAAAAGCCCTCTGGTCCAACTCCAGACCCAAACAAGGGTCTCTCACACACATCCCCAGCTCTAATTATCCAGGCTTACTTCAGAGGTTTCTAGTGAGAGGGAAGACCACTCCACTTCTGGATTATTTTAATTATCAGGAATTTTTCTTTTATATGAGTTGATAGGGTAGGTAGTGTGTTCAGGTTTGAAAGGGTTTGCATCCCCTTTAAAAATAAAATAAAATAAAAACCACTGATATATAGAGTTCAAAAAAATGACAGGCCCATCAAAGAAAGACAGTTTGCGCCTCACAAACAAAGCCCTTTCTGAGGCTATACTTTCAGTGTAACGGACTAGTAGATCAGACCAATTTTAAATGTCTCCTCTATGCATTACCAAAATTCTTTCTGCCAAATATCTATGAATTTTCATTAGCTGTGAATTTACATTAGGCAGATTCTATGACTTCAAGACAGACTGCTATGTATCTATCTATTGGGGAAGACAGGGCAGAATCTCAGAATGATAATAGCCTATATTTCTGTGTAGTGTTTTAGCACATTCCTCACAACCCATTAAAATGTAAGCTCTTTGAGGGTAGGCATTATATTATTTTAGATTAAATTCAACACACACACACACACACACACACACACACACAGAGCCTACTATGTACAAGGCACTGTGTTAGGTACTAGGAATACAAAGATTAAAAAAAAAGTCCCTTCTCCACCATTTCCCTCCTACCACTACTAATGTCTTCTTTCTGGGATTACCTTATCCTTTTATATGTCTTGTATGCATGTAATTGTTTGCATGTATTCTACTCCATTAGAATGTAAGCTCCTCAAGGGCTGTGTAACCCTAGTCACTTGAACTCTGCCTCAATTTCTTCAGCTGTAAAATGGGGATAATCATAGCACCTACCTCCCCGGGGTTGTTGTGAGGACCAAATGAAATATTTGGAAAGCGCTCAGCACATGCCATACCTGGCACATAGCAGGTATTTAATAAATATGTGTTCTCTTCTCCCCCTTCCTTTTATCACTTCTAGATATGTAGAAGATGTGATCCTCCCAGTTGTTAGTACCTTCCCCAATTACTTTGTATGTAGTTTGTATGCACTTATCTTGTTTACTTCCAATAGAATGTAAGTTCTTGAGGGCAAGGGATAGTTTTGTTAACATTCCTGCTTAGCATGTAGGAGTCATTCAACAATTGCTTATTGAAATGGATACACCCCAATTTCATGAGCTATTCGTCAACCGACAGTCATCTGTTTTTGCTTATTTTTTTTGTACCACAAGAAATGCGGCTATAAATATTTTGGTCTGTATGGCACCTTCTATCTTTGACTTCCTTGGGACATATGCCTTGAAGTGAGAAGTAGCATGTCTGCACCAAAGAATATGAGCAGTTGAATGACTTTTCTCATATAATTTTAAATTGTTGGCATCAGAATACAGGGGAAAACATAGAATGTATATTCAGAGGATCTGATTTTAAATCCAAACTTTGATGTTTACTATGTGATCTTGTGTAAGACACTTCCTCTTTCTCTGCCTTAGTTTCTATATCTGTAAAATGAGGGGGTTGGATTAATTGACCTCTGAGGTCCCTTCCAGCTTTAGGATTCTATGGTTTGTAAAATGCTTGTAATAATTCATAGCTCCCCCAAGTGTATTAATCTGCCTGACTTCCCAAAACTCCTCCAACATTGACTATTTCTTTTTTTTTGGTTAGGCAATGGGGTTAAGTGACTTGCCCAGGGTCACACAGCTAGAAATTGTTATGTGTCAGAGGCCGGATTTGAACTCAGGTCCTCCTGACTCCAGGGCCGGTGCTCTATCCACTACACCACCTAGCTGGCCCCCAACATTGACTATTTCTATCTTTTGTCATTTCCCCCCAATTTTCTAAGTGAAAGTTAACAAACCTTAAAGTTATTTTAATTTGTACTTCTCTTATTAATGATGATTTGTATCAATCATTTGTTTACATCTTGGTTTTTTATATTCCTCTTTAAAAAACTTTTTATTTATATCCTTTAATCAGTGATGTACTGGAGAAAAATTCTTTGCTTCCATTCCCTAATCTGGCCCATTTCCCATCAAATCCTCAGATAATTTTCTATGAGGGCAAGTATTTCACTGGTCGGAAGCTGGAGGTCTGTGGGGACTGTGACAACTTCCAGGACCGAGGCTTCATGAACAGGGTCAACTCCATCCGCGTGGAGAGTGGCGCCTGGATTTGCTTTGACCACCCAGACTTCCGAGGACAGCAGTTCATCCTGGAACGTGGCGAGTACCCTGACTTCTATCGCTGGAACGGCCACAATGACCACATGGGCTCCTGTCGGCCAGTGGGAATGGTGAGTGCCTGTCCCAGCTTTGGGAGTATGGCTTCCTAAGCCAAAAGGACTTAGCAGAAGTACTCCCGCTATGGTGGTGGAAGATGATGGCTGGCCTTTCTAGGGTCTTCTCACTGAAATGAACCGCCATATCACATGCTGTCCAGCTGTGAGCCTTGTGTCCTTGGAGTGGGAACAAGAGGATTTGCCCAGCTGAGTAAACCTGAGCTCACGTTGCTGAAGGCCCTAACAAACATCTGGGGGTCAGGGCCCCTAGAGGCACCTCTGTATGTTGGATCCTATTTTGACCTGAAGCTGCTGCAAAGTCAGCTACACTTTGGCAACTCAAATGGTTAAAAATGATTTCCCAGCATCTCAGCAAGGCTGTGGCTGTTGGAGAAAGGAATTAAAATTGTTGGCACAAAAGTCAGCATAATGAAAAATATACTAGGTATTTTGTGAATGCTGTTTTCACAAAAAATATCCATGGGGCCAACTTGCATCACAGATTCATGTGCAGCCGAAGTCCAGAGCTTCCCAAAGGGATTTACTGTAACTAACACTGAAGGATCCTTAGGGTCAGGATATTGGAACAGTGTTCTCTTTTTTTTCCTCTGGACATGCACATTATCTTACAAGGATATGCATTTCCTGCTCCAAGTGAATGGTGATGCAAATCCCAGCAGCTGCTTCAGCAAAATAAAATGTTTCTTTATTGTCTATTTTATATTTTTGGCTTCAGGTTTGAAGAAAAGCTTTCTATTCCTTTTTCAAATTTAAACAATCCTGGGTACAGTATACTGGCTGGCATGTGGCCTTCTTGGAAAAGTGGGAAGGGACAACAATAATAACTTACATTTTACTTCATCCTGATCTTTGCAAAATACTTTCCTAATAAAAGCCTGGTGAAGTCAGTATTATGATGATAATGGTGATGGTGGTGGTGGTGGTGGTGGTGGTGGACTTGACATATACCAAAAAAAGAGAACATTTTTATATTCAAAGTGGAACAGAAAAAAAGATTATATGTTAAGCTTGTACATATAGTACATTTTGCTAGGAAGGAAATGAAATCCCAGAGAGATTGTGACTTAGCTATATAGATAGTAAGAATCAGAGTCTCGTGTGTGTGTGTGTGTGTGGTGTGTGTGTGTGTTAAGAGAGAGAGAGAGAGAAAAAGAGAGTATGAGTACCACATAATATAATAGACAGATGCCTTGATTAGGAGTTGAGAGACCTGGGTTCTAGTCCTATTCTAGTCACTCATTTGCTATGTGATGATGATGGTGATGATGATGGTGGTGATGGTGATGGTGATGATGGTGGTGATGGTGATGATGGTGATGGTGATGGTGATGATGGTGGTGATGGTGATAATGGTGGTGATGGTGATGATGGTGGTGATGGCGATGATGGTGATGATGATGGTGGTGATGGTGATGAGGTTGATGATGGTGATGATGGTGATGAGGTTGATGATGGTGATGATGATGGTGATGATGATGATGATGATAGCTAACATTTATATAGGCCAGGCACTGTGCTAAGTAAGCACTTTACACTTACTATCTCCTTTGATCCTCACAACAGCCCTGGGAGGTAGGTGCTATTATTACCTCCATTTTACAGATGAGGAAACTGAGGCAAACAGAGGTTAAGTATGTCATCTTGGGCAAGTCACTGAGTTTCTCTTGCCATCAGTTTCTCCATTTGTAAGACTAGTATTAATTCCCCAGGGGGGCACCAGTGGGTACTATAAGGAACAAAGGAGATTATATATTAAACACTTTGAAAAAGCAAACAGACCAGAACAAGGAATTAATGATATCACCATCTTTGACTTTTTTAAAACCACGTTTCCCTCTCCTGAAGGCTCCTATAACATTCAGTTTATTGGTAGCAGTATGTGGGGGAAAGAGCCTTAGATATTTTAATCCCAGCTCTGTCACTGACAAGGTCAGTCAATATGACCCTGGGCAAGTCATCTGCCCTCCCTGGGCCTTATTTTCCCCATCTATCGAATGAAGAAGTTAGACTATATCATCTCTAAGGTGTCTTACAGCTCTGACTTTCCACACACTCATTGCCCAGGTTCTTGGCTGGGGAGAGGCACAAAACCTAAACCAGACCCAACAACTCAGCTGTTTCTTTCTTCTCCCCTTTTCTTCCACAAACTCTTCTAACGTTGGAGCATGGGGAACACTACCGCCTGGAAATCTTTGAGGGTTGCAACTTCACAGGTCAGTGCCTGGAGTTTACGGAGGACTGTCCCTTCCTTCAGAGCCAGGGCTGGGCCAAGAACTGCGTCAATGCTGTCAAGGTGTACGGGGATGGAGCGTGAGTAAACTAGAGGCTGAAAAAGGGGGTTGAAGTCTGGTTATTGCTTTAGCAGCTGCTATTGTGTTTGGGGGTAGATGAGGATCTTTGTGGCAAGGATTCCCCAGCTGGAAGGGTACTCCTGGGCATTATTTTCCCTTGTTTGGTTCTTGGGCTACCCTGCCAGCCTTCTTGCCATAGTATTTAAAATTCCACTATTAGAAAGTCATTCCTTTGGTTGAGACATACCCTGTTAAAATGCACATCCTCTTGAGAGAACACATTAAGCTAATATCAGTCATGCGCATCTTCCTGGGAATTGTCCTTTCCAAAGGGACAGCTAACTCAGGCCAAGTCTTGATCCCAGGGAGGAAAGATAGTCTAGAGCATAGGACAGTGTATAATAAGGTCAGTTCTGAAGAGGAATTTTGAACTTGGGAGGGCAGCATGAGGGCATTAAGCACCTTGACAGGAAGCGTCAGATGCCAGGACAGAGCAGGAGATCACTCACTGAAAGGGAAGATGGGAAGACATAAGTACTTTGCTGCTTTACTCTTTGCCTCATGGCTGGCTGGAGAAGGCAGGGGATTCTTTGCAAAGCTTTCTTTTGAGGCCTGAAATTTAAAGTGATGCTTCTGTTTCTGGATGCTTCAGTACATAGCAGGAGTAATTCACACAGTTATACACAAATAGTATTATCTTCTTAGAGCAGGAGTTCTTACACTGGGGTCCATGGAACCCAAGGAGTCCATGGATGGATTTCAGGGGCTCCATGAGCTTGGATTAGGGGGGGAAATCACCTCTTAATTTTCATTAACTTCTAATGGAAATGTAGCATTACCTTCAATTATGAATGTAGGCAGCAAATGTTATTTTGAGAAGGCTTTACCAGACCGCCCAAGGTTTCATGGGACAAAAAATGTTAAGAACCCTTCTGTTAGAGGGAAGATAATATACTGGATATTTTGTGCATCAGGTTTCAGGGCAGGGCACTGAGGGAGAAATCTCACATCCCAGAAGCTCTCAATTCCTCATTGTCCCAGCTGACCAGATTGGAATATGTCAGAGGAATGCGTGCCCAGAAGTCTCTGTACCATGGCTGAGCAAGGTGGCAGCTTCTCTTGGACCTCCTGTTCAGCAAAAGTTAATGGCAAGGAAGCCTGTCTCCACACTGAGAGGGAGTTGCAAAAAGATAAAGTAGGAGAAGGAAGGGTTGGATACTGTTGAGTGTGCTAAGGGATGAATTACTTCCTGGTCACAACATATCTCATCTTGACCATGGATTAGATAGATAGACAGACAGATAGATGATAGAAAATAGATAGATGAAAAATAGATAGGTGATAGATAGAAAGAAAGATAGATAGTAGATAATAGCTAGAGAGTTGATAGATATAGAGACAGATAGGTGATAGGTAGAAAGAAAGATAGATAGTAGATGATAGCTAGAGAGTTGATAGATATAGAGACAGATAGGTGATAGGTAGAAAGAAAGATAGATAGTAGATGATAGCTAGAGAGTTGATAGATATAGAGACAGATAGGTGATAGGTAGAAAGAAAGATAGATAGTAGATGATAGCTAGAGAGTTGATAGATATAGAGACAGATAGGTGATAGGTAGAAAGAAAGATAGATAGTAGATGATAGCTAGAGAGTTGATAGATATAGAGACAGATAGGTGATAGGTAGATAGATAGAGGCTCTTTTGAGTACTTCTCTGTACTACAAACTAAATATAAAAATAAGCAAACAGGACAGTCTCTGTCTTCAAGTAGCTGCCATTCCAACGAGGAAATACAACATGTAAAGGAGAGGTAGAAAGTGAGGGAAGGAACAGGCACAGCCCATGGCATAGAGCAGAACAAGGTAGCATAGCTGTCTAGTCCCTGGTAATTTAAGGAATAAGATAAAATTGGGGCAGCTAGGTGGTGCAGTGGATAGAGCACTGGCCCTGGAGTCAGGAAGACCTGAGTTCAAATCCGGTCTCAGACCAGAGACTTGACACTTAATAGCTGTGTGACCCTGGGCAAGTCAATTAACCCCGATTGCCTTGCCAAAAACAAAAAAAACAAAACAAAAAAACCCATAAAATAAGAATTTGGTTAGGGAGAGGAGAAGGAGGAAGGAAAGAGGCACAGAGGGCATCCTGGACATTGGCCTTGGTTAACACCTTGGAGGTTTTAAGTGGAGTTGGGGCATCTTCTTCTGTACTCTAGTCCAGGCTCCTACACCATTCCCATTTGTGTGGCTGCCCTGCCTAAAAAATATATACCCAATCAGCCTATGTGCAAAAATGCCTAAAATTCCACCATTAGAAAGCTATTCCTTTGGGTTAGACATTTCCTATAAAAATATCTGCCCTTGAAATCAGAACATATTAAGCTCCTTAGTGTAATTTGTCCTTTCTAATCCTGTGGAAGGAACATCTACAATTTGTAAAACCAATGGAAGAGGCATAGGGGTGGAAGGGAACAACTAGGCAGCACAGTGGATAGAGTTCTGGACTTAGCATCTGGAAGACTTGAGTTCAAATCTTGCCTCAGACACCTACTTATTTCTGTAACCCTGAGAAAGTCATTTAACCTCTGTCAGCCTCAATTACTTCATCTGTAAAATGGGGATTATAATAGATCCTCCCTTATAGGGCTGTTGTGAGGCTCAACCGAGATAATGTATGAAAAGCACTTTGCAAACCCTCATGGACTCAGAGAAGTTATTGAGAGCTGCCAGTATCTAGCAAAAACTATGTGCCCTGGTAGGATGTTAAGAATAGCAGGAAAGACAACTCCCGAGTCACCAAGGGAATGCCCATCCTTGTTTTCCGTATCTTGTCAAGTCTAAGGAACTTCCAGATGGCAAACTGCTCTCACCACAAGAATTGGTGACGACTTCTCCCTCCCACCACCTGTGTGAAATACCTTCCTAGATCCGCTCTGAAGCCCAAGAGTAAGGAAAGAATGGAAGTGGGGTTTGTGGCTGAGTGCAGAGAGATGGTTTGAAAAGTAGCATCATTAAATAATAATAATTAATAATAATAATAATAATAAAGCTTGAAGGGACCTGAGAGGTCATTTAGCCCAAGCCCTTCATCTTACAGATGAGGAAAATCATACCCATGGAGATGAAGTGAGTGGCCCAAAGTCACTAGTTAGGGGCAGAGTTGGGACAAGAATTTAGATCCAGAGGTTTTCAATCCAGTGTTCCGTTGAGGAAAGCAAGAGATGACTCTGGACCAGGTATTCTGAATTCTAGACTGGCCACTCAAAAATACTGAATACAACTTTTAATAACCACATGACCTTTGCTTTGCATGTTATCCAAACTGGTTCCCCGAAAGCAAGATATGCCCAGAATCAGAGTTTGTATGTCAAAGCTAAAAGGAACCTCATAGGTCATTAAGTCCAAGCACTTATTTTTCAGATGTAGAAACTGAGGCTTAGAGAGAAGACATGATTTGTCCAAAGTCACAAGCTTGGTAAGTGGCCAGGATTTGAGCCCAGGTCTCCTGACTAGCCTTGTAGTGGTTTTTCCTTCCGAATGTTAGGAAAGCATTTGAAAAAATCCTCATGATATCCTTGTGGAGAAGGATGCATATTTATGCATAGGGGTCTAGCCAGAAAGCCAAATCCAGCCTGTAGCCTGTTTTCTTATGGTTCGCGAGCTAAGAATGGTTTTTGCATTTTAAAATACAAAACTTAATTTCAAAATGACAACCATTTTTAGCCCTGAAAAAAAAAAAGGCAGTGTCTGCAGGTCATACTTTACCTATCACCTCTGTATTACAGTATAATGAGGTACATATGGCTGGTTGAATAAACAGACTCAAAGAATATTGGCCAGTGGACGAAAATCCACTTAAGGGCAGCTAGGTGGTAGAGCAGGTAGAGTACTGGGCCTGGAGTCAGGAAGACTTCAGTTCAAATTCACCCTCAGACACTTATTAACTGTGTGGCCCATGGCAAATCCCTTCATTCCTGTTTGCCTTAGTTTCCTCATCTGTAAAATAGGGACAATAGCACCTACTTTCCAGGGTTGTTGTGAAAATCAAATGAGATAATAATTGTAAAGCACCTAGCACAGTGCCTGGCACATAGAAAGCATTATATGAATTATATATAAATATGTAATATAAAATACATATATAATATATAAAATAACACTATATGAATGTTAGCTATTATTAGCCAATGTTAGACGTGGTCTAAAGGTATGTATCCCATGGAATACCATAATATTCTGTGCTTGGCCCTGTTCTGTTAATTTTTTTTATTGTTAATCAATGATGTGGATGTAGATATAGATAGTATGTTTATTGAATTTGCTGATAAACATACTAGTTTGAATGGATAACTAGTGATTGAATGACAGCATCTGGATCCAAAAAGACCTGAATTGGTTGTGATAATATATTAAATCTAATAATGAAAATCAGTAGGGACAAATGTAAAGTAACACATTAAAAAAATTGTTTTCACATGCAACTGGAAAATAAGAAATACGGGAAATGGGGTATAGAAATCCTATCCTGCCCTACAGGAAAATAGAAGGGGAAGGGGATAAGAGAAGGGATGAGAGATAGAAAGGAGGGCAGATTAGGGGAAAGTGTATTCAGAATGCATGCCATCTTGGGGTGGGGGGAGAGACGAGTTGGGGAGAAAATTTGGAACTCAAAATCTTGTGGAAGCGAATGTTGAAAACTAAAAATAAATACATTTTTTTAAAAAGTACAGAATAAGGTGGAGGTGGTTGGCTAGATAGCAGTTTCTAAGAAAAAAAAATGAGGAATTTTAGTGACCTACAAGTTCAATGAATCAGCAGTATGATGTAGTTACTCAAAAAGCTAACATGATGTTAATGGAATGAAAGCATTCAGAACAAGAGACGTAATAATCCCACTGCACTCGGCATGGGTCAGACCACATGGGGAGTATTGTGTTCAGGTCTTCATTGGAGGAATGGGAGAAGGAATCATGAATATTTAGTTGGGAAAACAGAAGTTTTAGGAAGGCTGGAACATGATAACTGCTTTCAAGTATTTGAGAGGCTTTCCTATGGAGGGATTAGACTTGGGCTCAATATAAGAATGAATTTTCTATCAGTTAGGGGTTACTTGAAAATGGAATGAGTCATCTTGTTAGATAATGAGGTCCCCATCACCGGAAATATTCAAGCAGAAGCAGGGCACTCATCTGTTGGGGATTCTATAGCATGTGATAGCTGGGTTGAGTGATGTCTTAGGTCTCTTCCTTAAATATATATATAATGATTCTAAGGCATAATATTAACATTTGATCAGGGCAAGGCAAATAATGTCTCCACCCTAAATCCTCCCATCAAAGTTCAAATAGTGTGCCCAGCTATTCCCTCTTGCTCCTGAATTAGATGTCCCCAAGACCTGATCCCATAGAAGAGCCAGTTGGGAGGGAGTCCGTTTATTTCTTAAAACAAGATTCAGGGTCTAACACCCCCTTCCCCCACAAAGAAATTGGACCTGTTGTTCAACTTAGTAGACTTTAGAGTGGATATAATTGCCACAGAGGGGGTGGATGGGATAGGGGCAAAGAAAAAGAGTCTCCACATGTGTAACAAACCCTTGCACTTGGCTTTGTGTCAGATTGACTTCATGCTGTGGGCCATGTCTCCTGTCCTTGAGTTCAGTGTGACTTGAAGGAATGTATTTTCTCACTTTGTTTTCCTTTCCCTATGATCCTCTGCATCTGTTTCTTGATTTCTGTATTTCTTTTTGTCTTTCTTTGTCTTTCTGAAGCTCTTTCTCTTTCTCTGCCCCTGCTTTTGGATCACTCCTCTCTCTTCCTCCCCATGGAGTAACCTATACCCAGAGCTGATGGAGTCTAACTCTTCTGGACTGTAACTGTTTAATTTGTTAGGGATATGAATTAATCAGCTGAGCAGTGTCTTTTAAAAGCCACCTCTTTCACCTGGCCCCATATAGAAGGCAACTTGAGATTTCCCCATTAACTGGCTGAGTGAGCCACCAAGAAATGATGTAGAAATAAATGGATTAAAATTTATTCAAATTTAAAAAAGCAAAGCTCTCAAAACCTGGCACAAAAGAAGAAAGGGTCAATCCAGAAAGAGCTGTCCCACAGGGTAAGCCCTGGAAGGGGGTGGGTGGGGGCTCTCGGATGCCAGGGATTTTTTCCCCCTCTGGATCAACAGCAGTGAATTCCAGGAATGATGTCCCAGAAGGCTGTACTCCTGGGAGAGCTCAGTATGGGAAGTGCTGTGCTCTGGCAAACACTTTCCTAGTTATTCTTTTCCTAAACTATCCCCTGGGATAGACCACTGGAGGACTCAGTGCTGGTGGATAACTATGGGAGTTACCAAAATCAAAACTAAAAAATGGTCATAACAGAACATGTCCATAAGAACTTCTTCTATGATGAAGTTCTGGGGATGATGGTCAGATAGCTGCTGTTTGGTAGCCTAGGGAAAAGGCAGGGGAGTGGGCTAGAGGCAGTTGAGTATCCCAGCACCATGCCGCCCACCCTTGCCTTGCCCTACACTTCCCTAAAGCCCAGTTGCTGCTATCTCTTCACCAGCAGGGTCCTTCTTTAGGGAGGCTGGTTTTCCTTCCCTGGAGTCCCCTTCATCTTCTTCCAATCCCCTCTCTCTCCACCCTCCTTACTCTCTCTTCTCTCACCCTTCCCCCAACCACCCTCTTTTCCTTCACCTCTTTCCCCCCCCCACCCAGTAAATCATATTTGTAGTTGGAAGTGGGGGAAGAGGAGGGAGAACTTGGTTCCTTCAGTCTCTAGCCCTGTTCTCAATGCACTCCATTATGGATCTGTAAGTGAGTACCACGCTGTCTCAGGGCACTGCTTTGGACACTCTCACACATAAGCCCCATTGGTTCACTGTGGAGGGAGAAGGAGATAAAAGTGAGTCCTTTGGGGGTTGCCCAAAGCCTGTGGTCGTGGGTGGACTTAGGGCTTATGGAAATGAGATGATTGCTCTGGCTTAGGGCCGGGGAATGCAGCCAACTCAGTGTGAACTATCCCCACACTGGAGCCCTCTGACTATTCCTTGCTCTATCTTTCAATCTCTCTCTCTCTCTCTCTCTCTCTCTCTCTCTCTCTCTCTCTCTCTCTCTCTCTCTCTCTCTCTCTCTCTCTTCCTCCTTCTCTCTCTCCTCTCTCTCCCCTCCTTTCCTCCTCCTCTTCCTCCTCTCTCTCCCCCTCTCTCCCTTCCTCCTTCTCTTCTTCTGTCTTCTCTCTCTGTCTCTCTGTCTCTCTCTGTCTCTCTCCTCTCTCTCTCTCTCTCTCTCTCTCTCTCTCCTCTCTCTCTCTCTCTCTCTCTCTCTCTCTCTCCTCTCTCTCCCCCCCCCTCCTCTGTTCTCCTTTCCCCTTTTCCTTCCCTCCTCACATCTCTTCTTCTTACAGGTGTCTCAGTTGAGGAGGGCAGTAATGCCCAAGAGAGTAAATGTAAGGTGATGAGGAAAAAGCCTCCACTAGAAGAGTGAGTATTGCACAGAAGCAGCCAAAGGAAGGGAAGTTAAGAAGACCTAGATTTTATTACCATCTTTCCTAGACATTCCCAACTCATCTCCTCAACCCTGGACAGCCTGGCATACAGAGGAAAGGGACTGGGCTAAGAGTGAGAAAACTTGGGTTTTACTCTATGTTTAGACCATTAATTAGCTGTGTGACCTTGGGCAAGCCATTTTCTGTTTCCTCATGTGAAAATGAGAGGGCTGGAGGAGATAGCCTCTAAGGTTATTTCCAAGTATAGGAGCCCATGTCCTCTGGGGAATAAAAGATGGTACCTATGTTTATCTAAGAGCCAATGGTATTTGGGAGTTAGTAGGACAGAGTCAGTGGGTATGAGTGAGAGAGTGATACATAGGAAAGAGTCAGAAGCTAGAAAATTATACAATGTGAGAACTGGGAAGAACCTTAGAAATCACCCATTCCTAATTCATCCTCTTATAGGCACATTTTATAGGAAAGAACACTGAGGCCCTGCGTGACATGGCCCAGGAAGTGAGTGATGGAGACAGAGTCAGCAAGTAGGCAAGGTCAATATTTATTGCCTCCAACCTGTTCTTTTCTGGTACCACCCCAAGGTACCCAATACCCTCATTGTTACTGTGGTGGCTGCTCAGGGCTTCCCTCCCTCTGTTGCCCCTAGTGGGACCTAGACAGTGTGTTGTGTGCCAGACCTTCTCTTTTTCCTCCCTCATCAAAGCTTATTGTGTTCCCTCTCCTTAAGGCACTGCCATCTACACCGGGGAATAGTGTCCTAATCAGAGAAAATGACCCCCTGTTCTTGTTAGCTAATGTTCCCCCAGAAAACCAAGGAATATTAAAGACAGTGAGAATTTGGGACAGCTCAGAATAATGTTGAAATTATGCATACTCTCTCTCTCTCTAATTTTCTTTCTCCTCCCCTTCTTCCCCTTTCTTTTCTTCTCTTTTCTCTTCTGTTCCCCCTTCCCCTTTTCCTTCCCTTCTCCCTGGCCTCCCACCCAGTGTGTATGGTTGGTTCTGAGTGAGTCTGGTTGTATGGAGAGAACATGACAAAAGTGGGAAGAGCCTGAGCCTATAGCCCTGTCAGGCACCCAATTAAATATTAAAAGTCACTACTAAGAACCTATTGGTCTCCCCAATTACCAACCTATACACACCAGCCTCTGACTCTAGCTCTGTCTATATGGGCAACTACTTAGCCTCTTCTCTAAGATTTATCTACTAAGGTATAGGACATCTTACTCTTAACAAAAATCTTAGCTCTTTGATATATTGACTATTACTCAACAACTACCATGTCATTCCCAGTTCTGTGTTTGATTCTTTGCTGAAGATGAGGAGAAGACATAGTCCCTCCCCTTGGAATTTTGCAAGTAATTGGAGAGAAGAGTTTTACACTGATAAAATAATTAGAGAAGGTAGATAATTAGGCACCCAGATGTGTGGTACAGGCACCAAGTGGTATGGAAATCCAGGAAGGAAGCAGATTAAAGGAAGGCAAGAGAAATCGGGGTGGGTATGTGAAAGTCCCAGGAGTAGGGACTACCAGATTCCTCTCCTGAGTCTCAGATGACTTGGGGGATGGGAGGAACAGTGTGCCCAAAATGGTAACCTTTGAGTTTCCTCCATAGTAACCCCAGAAGGGATAAAAATCATGGTACAGTGAAAAGACAATGGATTTGGGGTCAGAGGTACCCAGGTTCAGATTGCATCTCTGCCATTTACTACCTGTATGACTTTGAGTATATCATCTAACTTCTCTGTGTCCAAGTTTCTTCATCTGTCAAATTAAAGGGTTGGACTTAATGCCCCCTAATATCTTTTTCAGCATGAGATCTGGGATCTTCAAATGCCATCTTTCCCAATCCTGGTCTGGGTCCTCTTGGTCTAGAACTTTTCAGTTGGTATTGTGCAGTCACAAAAGGGAAACCAAATAGGATAAAGAATGTGGAGGAATGATTCCCAGACTACAATGACCCTCTTATCTGTACCCTCCTGTGCCCTGATCCTTCCACCTTAGTACAGACTCTGCAGGAACTTTTTATGCATTAAGAGTGACCTCCTGCCTTGAGGCTAAGGTTCTTAGTTTTCCCTCTTTCTCAAATTTTCCCTCTTCTACCACCCATACCTGTTTCCTTTGTCCTAGGTGGGTCCTTTATGAAGAACCAAACTACCGGGGTCACATGTACGTGGTGGAGAGGGGCGATTACCGAAGCTTCAATGACTGGCAGGCCCACAGCGCCAATGTTCAGTCCCTTCGAAAAGTTGTCAACTTCTTCTAGGGTGGCCCAATTCTTCTGCTACTATCTTGGATGGATGAATCTCCAAGGGAACACCAGGGAAGTGTCTTGTTCTTCCCAAGCCAACACTTTCAGGAGACAATGGGGAATAAAGGCTAACGAGTTAGTTGGGGTTTCTGAGTGTTTTTCTCTTTTGGGGAATGGAATCCTTCTTTGAGAATAGGGAAGGTGTAACCTCGCTCATAGACAGGCTGTGCTATCTTGCCCCTTGGGTAATTGGAGGTTCTTCTCTTCCCATCTCTCAATCATTTCTCCTCCTTCACCCTAGGTGGTTAATTTCAGACATCTCTCACTCCTGAGAAGTCTTCTATAAAATTCCAGTTTCTTTTACATCTATAGCTCTGCCCTGTGTCCTGTGAGCTGCTGAGAATCACCCTTGGAGAAGAACGGGCTCAATTCTTAGTCCCCAGTCCTCCAAGGAGGTGACTGACAGTGCAGTTGGGTCCCTTGATATAGATGCAGGACTGGGAATCAATCAATGAACAAGCATTTATTAAGTGCCTACTGTGTGCCAGCCAATGGGAGTACAAAGACAATGAATGAAATAATCCTTACTCTCAATGAACTCACATTCTAATGGGGAGACAAGGACATATATAAACATATACAAAACAAATATAAAAACAATAAAAACAGAGGAATCCAAAGCCACTAAATACAAGGTATTATACACAAAGTTAAGGAGGAAAGGTACCAGAAGTTGGGGGATCTGCTTCATATAGAAGGTGGTCCTTGAAGGAAAGAGCAGGAGAAAGCACTCTGGATTCCTAGAAGGGCCTTTAGAGATCATCTAGTTCTAGATGGAAACAGAAAGCAGAGAGCATTGAATTTAGAGTCAAAAGACCTGAGTTCAAATCCCTACTCTACTTTTTACTATTTTAAATCCCTCTGGGCCTCAGTATTCACATCTATGAAATAAAAGGGTTAAACCAGATGAAGAGTACTTAATTTTCGTATGTCATGGACCCCTTTGGCAATCTGAGCATATATGAGTTATGTTTTTAAATACATGTGTAACAAGGATTACTCTGGCCTGAAAGCCTGGTGTGTTACATTTAACCTCTTTTCTGGGGTTCTCTGGTACCTATAAAGGGAGTTTAGGGAGTATCTAGTGTCTATGTCATTGGCTCAAGCCCCTACCAATTGTGTTCTCCTAATTGAGGGGTCCCTTGCACTCCTGTTTCATCTGACCACTTAATAGTCAGATTAACTTTTATAAAGGAATATTTGCTTCAAAGGTACAGCAAGAAAGACCTACAGACAATCCCCCAGCTGGGGTGGAGTACGATCCTCTTTTGTACCACCTCCGTCTCTGGGAAGGAGATGGAGATCAGGTTCACCGTTTAGCTCTGTTCTCATATAGCATAGTCCTCCAGTTCCAGGTCCAGTTCCTAGGGCCCCTGATGCAAACTAGACCTTCACCCCTTGCACGCTGCCACAAGGAGAGAGAAACACTGTCCCAGTCTGCTAGTTTTAAAGACACAGCTTGTTCAGACTATGCTGCCAATGGAAAGAGGTTGTTCCCACCCACATGGCAGAGGAATGCAGAATGTCTTCTCCCAGAAGCAGGTCTCTGGAATTTCCCTTATCTTAGGTGATCTAGGCATGCACGGAGCAAAGCCCCATTACACATAAAATAAACTACATAGGATTACAAGGGAAAACTATCATATTGAAACACAGTTATCACAATATTTTTTTAAAAACAAGTTCACCAGTCCTCAGACTGGAGAATTTCTAAGGTCCCTCCTAGTTCCAGACCTAGAAATCACCTCATTTTACAGAGGAGGAGACTAAGGTAAAGACTGGAGCAACTTGTCCAAAGTCACAAAAATAGTTGGTGTCAGAGACAGGACAAGCAACCAGGTCTCCTGACTCCCTGTGTACGCTGCAGAGGTTTTCCAGTATACCATAGAATCTTTGCTACACATCTGGGAAGCAATGCTTCATGTGTGCATCGGGGATGGGATGAGGAGGGGCAGTGGCAATGAAGCTGGGATAGAGGGGAGGCGATGGGACGGCACTTAAAAGAAATGCGGGCTAGGATTTAAAGCAGGAGAAATTTCCAGAATGTGTTGAAGCCCTGAGTCAGCAGTGCCAGATGTGGCTCTCCAGCTCAGCCAAAGGCCTGACTAAGGGCTTTCTGTAGGCTGGGTTTTTATCAGCTTGGTTTATATTGGTTTTAGTGTTTATAAAGGAGGCCCCTCTGAAAGGCTGGAAGAAGGCCTCAGCTCATTGTTAGAACTTGGGTTCAGAGTAAAACCTTGGTGGGGGGGTGGAAGGAAATGAATCAAGTATGAGAGATCAAGAAAATGCTGGGGCAGAGAGAGAAGGTATGGTGAGAGAAGGGTGGGTGCAGTGCTGGCAGTAAGGAGCTTCATGGAGGGCGTGAAGGTGGTGGGAGGACAGAGGAAGATGCTGGCAGGAGCCACAGAATGTTAGAGCTGGAAGGGACCATAGATCATTTAGGCCAATCTCACCCTCTTACAGATAAAGAGCCCAAAGTAAAAAGAGATTGAGTGAACTGATCAAAGTCACACAGTTAGTCTGTCATTCAGCAAGCATCCTTTAAAGTGCTCGCTACGCACCAAGCAGTATTCTAAGTGCTGGCAATACAAAGAAAGGCAGCACACATTCAGATGGGGGAGACGATGTGCAAATAACCAAGTTCATGCAAGATATAGATGCAGAATAGGTGAGGGCAATATCAGGGAAGGTATCACTAGCTGGAGGACTGGGGAAGGCCTCCTAATGAAGGGACAGTCTGAACTGAGCCTTGAAGCAAACCAGGGAAACTAACAGGTGGAGGTGAGGGGCCAGACCGTTCCAAGAACAAGGGATAGCGGGTACAAAGTCAGGGTTGTTGTGGTTGTTTGTCCTTTGTTGTTGAAGAGGACCATGCCGTCAGGGAGGTGATGCCATGACCGTGAGGGAGGGCTGGGTAAAGTCACCAGCCTCACTTTCTCCTCCGGAGCCATCTGGGTGCAGTGGCAAGATACAGATCAAGACAACTAGAGGCGGCCACTGATACAGTGCGAGCACAAAGTCAGGGAGAAGAGAGACAGAATGAACTATTAGAGGAATTGCGAGCTGGCCAGTGCATCTGTATCATAGGATTTGTAGAAGGGGGTAAAATATAAGAAGGCTGGAAAGGCAGGCAGGGTCCAAGTTTTGAAGCTTTAAATGACAAAAAGAGGACTTAATATGTGATCCTATAGATAACAGAAAACCACCAGAGCTCATGGAGCAAGAGGGAATGGGGTGTGATAACCTGGTCAGACCACTTTACTCTTTTTTAGTTTTAAATAATATTTTATTTTTCCCCAACTACATATAAAAACAATTTAATGTTCATTTTTAAAAATTTTTGAGTTTCAAATTCTACCCCTCCCTCCTTCTCCTCCTCCTCCCTGAGATGGTATAGAATCTAATATAGGTTATACATATGCAATCATGTAAAACATATCCATATTGGTTCACTTTCTGCAAGAAAATGAAAGAAAGAAAGAAAGAAAGAAAGAAAGAAAGAAAGAAAGAAAGAAAGAAAGAAAGAAAGAAAGAAGAAAGAAAGAAAGAGAGAAAGAGAGAAAGAGAGAAAGAGAGAAAGAGAAGAAAGAAAGAAAGAAGGAAAGAAGGAAAGAAGGAAAGAAAGAAAGAAAGAAAGAAAGAAAGAAAGAAAGAAAGAAAGAAAGAAAGAAAGAAAGAAAGAAAGAAAGAAAGGAAGAAAGAAAGAAAGAAAGGAAGAAAGAGAGAAAGAAAAAAAGAAAGAAAGAAAGAAAGAAAGAAAGGAAGGAAGGAAGGAAGGAAGGAAGGAAGGAAGGAAGGAAAGAAAGAACGAAGAAAGAAGGGAAGAAAGGAGGGAGGGAAAAACAGTATGCTTCAGTCTGTATTCAGACATCAGTTCTTTCTCTAGAGGCAGATAGCATTTTTCATCATGAGTACTTTGAGATTGTCTTAGATGATTGTATTGGTGAGAATAGTTGACTCATACACTATTCTTCATCATGCGATATTGCTGTTACTGTGTATAATGTTCTCCTGGTTCTGCTCACTTCATTTTGTATCAGTTCATGTAAGTCTTTCCAGTTTTTTCTGAAATGATTTTGCTTGTCATTTATTCCATTGCAACAATATACCACAATTTGTTCAGCCATTCCTCAATTGATGGAAATCCTCTCAATTTCCAATTGTTTGCCACCACAAAAAGAGCTGCTATAAATATTTTTGTAAAAGTAGGCTCTTTTCCCATTTTAAAAAATTTCTCTGGGATATAGACTTAGTAGTGGTATTGCTGGATCAAAGAGTATGCACAGCTTTCTAGACCTTTGGGCATATAGGCCTACACTTCAGAAATATAAACTTGGCAGCTGAGTGGAGGACAGATTGGAGTTGGGAGAGACTAGAGGCAGGGAGACCAGTTAGAAGGCTATTGTATTAGTGTAGGTGAGAGGTAATGAAGTAAACATGATGGTTGTATGAGTGAAAAGAACTAGATTCCAGCATCATGTTTACTAGTCCTATGCTATCTCTACAACCCCCTGCCTGCCAGCCAATCTGTTACCTCAACCAGCTATTATTATTATTATTATTATTATTATTATTATTATTCCAGACTTGTGATTTCATTGGTATAGGAAGTGTTCCATTATTCCATCAATGTAGCTATAGACCTAGAGAGTTGCTTCAATCACTGAGAAATGAAATGACTTGCCTAAGGTCATAAATAATGTATATGTCAGAGGCTGGTCATGAACCTAGGTCTTCTAAAGATGCTCACTTATATCATTCTCTGTCATATGCTATATGTGTTATAAGATAACCATGATGTAGGAGATGGAGGCCTGACTTGAATTCAGGAAAGACCAGCATTCACTCCCATCCCTCCTCTGACACATACTTGCCATGTGACCCTGGACGAGCAATTTAACCTCTCAGTGGCCCAGGCAATTCTCTAAGACCATAAACTGCTAATAGCAGGTGCTAATCTTCATTAGTAGTGGGTAGTTTCCTTGCTAGGAGCTCTTTATACCAATGAAATCACAGTTTTAGTCCAAAAGAACACCATATGTGGGAGCAATAGCAAGCATAAACTTTATTTTGGACATCCTCATCTGATGTGTGGGAGAGTCCATGAGTGGACTTGCTCATTCCTTAAATAAGAATAACTCAGATGAGCCTAAGTAGAAGATTTCAAGAAGCCCAAGATGGTCTCTTCTTACCCCTCCTGCTTGTTTAAAATAAGGGTTGGGGTGGGGGAGAGAAAAAGATGTACTTTAACAGGGACAGAACCTCTCTGTCCTAATGAGAGAGAAAAAGCTTAAAGTGCCTATATTGCTGGGAAAAGGAGCACACTTGCTGGACAGTACATAGTTAAATTGTTACTCCACGCCTTGGGCTATCCAGGAAGAGCATGGCGTCAATGCCAGGATGAGAGTATCCAATATCCTTCAGAACAAGATTTCATAGGGCCAACATAAACTGACCAGAGCCGTATGGACAAAGATGGATTGAGCGCCTTT